TTATTTATGTAGCATCTGAGGAGAAAATCAAGTTTTCTTTAACGTAAAGTAAAGAAATTAAATTACTGATAAGATGCAAATTTGGCATAAAACATAAATGTAGATTTACTGAAACAATTAACTGCAATTGAGAAAATTTTACTAGTTTCATAAAAAAACTCTGATAACACACTGCACTATTCTCAGGTACAAGTAAGAATAGTACCCATAATGACTAGAGAAATGGTAGAAAATGTATCATGAAGTTAAACTGAATCTCTCACTTGATTGAGTTAAAGAATAAAGATTATACTCAATGTGAGACAATCTGAATTATCGATATTCTTTGTGTGTAATTTCAGTTTAATTGAAAAATATTCATAGGGTGAATAGGTACACAAAACACAGGACAATTTTACTCTTTTTTAATGGAGAGAGTTTTAGCAAGCAAAAGATATCAAGAAATTATGATCTAGACTGAGAGAACTAACCATTATATGTGCCTTGTCATTCACGTCACTTGGTCATCCCATAAATAAAGATAAGGAGCACATAGTCACGAGGTATTTCTGAACTTATACTCAACTAATGTCAGTAGTTATCCCCCTTGCCAGGCACGTCGCCAGGGAGCACCACACGTATATCAACCTCAGGCAATGGGGAGGGGAGTTTAGATTAAGTCCAAGAAGTGGAACCAGAGGGCGCGTTGCTAGGCCGCCATGACAATGGAAGTTGTCCAGAAAACGTGTTGCTAGTTCCAAGAAGTGAAACTAGAGGGCGAATCAGTATAATGTAGATCGACATGATATTATAGTAACAAAGTCTTAAAACTAATAATTTAATTTAATTTCACAACCATGTGTCTACAGTTTTGCTTTGTAAGTAAATTATTAGATACAACTTTAAAAGGCTGAAAGTCCTGTGGGGTTACATACAGGTCTCAACTTATGTTTTTGTTTTCATTTATATATTTATTTGTATTACGTGTATTTTACAAAGGTGGACAATGTCACTAAGGGTAGTGCTTGTATAGGCGGAGGATGATGAGTTCATTGTCTCAATATGTAATGAATGACTATATTTAATTATAGACTTAATTATAGATTTAATTAAATCAAATCTATTATTCGTTTAATATAACAATAAATCACTTCTCGACACAATATTTCTTTTTACCACATTATTATTTTCACAATAAAGATTTTGCAACCTGATCAACATAAAAAGACATATCTATTAAGGAGGCATTTACATGAAAATGTTTTGCAACAAAATCATGAACAAATCATTAACATTTTTGTGGGATCCAAATTTAGGTTTTGTTTCGACACATGTTGACAAGGATAATCAGCATAACATACACGATATTGTCCACCTACAGACGTATATGGTCCTTGCAGTACTCTTTTGTTGTCCACGTTTGAGAGTTCCTTTTGGGGTGCATTGTTAGGATGCCATTACAGGCGGACATGACAACAGAATGTCAGAGATGATGACGTCAAAATTCCACGAAGTGGAACCACAATCATGATGATCTCATCACTGATGTCTCAAAGTGTCTTAATATGTAATCAATGGCTAGATTTATTCATAATCTAAAAGCAATACAGTTGACTCCTTATGGAAATGGCAGAGCTCTCAGGTTGCCCTGTATTAATTAGTGTTACCCAAATACATACTTCTTTTTGGCACATGGCCTAAGCATATATTCACTATTTCTTTGCCTGAGCCTGCCTGGGTTATATTAGCCATGTTGTTTGACAGAAAGTTTAGTAAACTGGAACTGGTGTAGGCATTATTACTCAAAAGCTTTGATGTTCTGGCAATCCACTAAATGGATGTCATATTGAATGGCTGTTGATGGATCCATGATCAAATTGGGTGCTCCAATTTACACTGCAAATGCATATGTATATATATAGAAGATCTTTTCTCAGGTTATTGTGGTATCTTTTTCGATTTTATCATTTAATGGTCCTATTATAATTATGTGAAAATATCAAACTATGTTTGACAATTTATGGATGTAATGGTCCCATTGGAGGTGTGTGCAGATATTATAATTATTCATTTCCTCGCAACCTCTAATGTGACACAAGAGCAAACAGCAATGATTCTTCTTGTGTGACTTTTTCTGCAAGCTGCAGTTTGAGGTATTGGCAGCACAGGCTATGCAGTTGGCAGACTTCGTTCCACAAGCCCTCAAGCATGATATTAGTTAATTTCACTGACATCATGTCTTTCATTTGATGAAAGTTAGGGAGAGGTCAGATAACACAAAATAGCAGCTGGCCAGTTAATTTGAAAAGAAAAGATGGCCAGAGAGGTCAAGAATTTGACTGTGTAGCTAAAATAAAAATTGAAAACGCTTGTAGTTTCTGATTGGTCAGACATTCAGCTAGAATTGTAAGTGTTAAAGTTGTAACTTTTCTGGTTTCAACTACAATCTGCTTCAAAAGCAGCTTTTAGGCATAATGTGTGAAAACTATTATTCTGGTTTATAATTTCTATAGGAATATATATAATAACATTTATGCTTGTAGCAGTTGTCTCCCAAGCAACTGTGAATATCCCAGGCCAGCAGGCTTCATAAGGGACATACACTTGATCAGTATACAGACAACCTTCCACATGGCTAATACTTATGAAATATTTCAATTGGCACAATTAAACATATCACATCAAAATCAATTAAAACATTGGATACAACAACTTTTCTTTTGGAATAACACATAAGCTACTACCATTATACTTCACTTTCTGCAAACAATTTAACTTATGTATACAAATTTTACTGTATTTATATTTCTTTCAAATATTTCTTTCATATATTTCTTTAAAATTTTACTGAAAACATTGAGAAACACCATGTTTTCCCTTAATGTGGTGTAAGCTCTCCTATTACATTTATCTTTCCACTGAAAAATATACTTGATCATGGATATTTCACTTTCCAAAACTAAAATTATTCTTTCACCAACAAAGATGAAAATACTGGATAATCTGTATCTGCTTATGATGTGACACAAGGCAGTAATTATGTTTTTACTTCATACATCATCATCTCAATTCTTGGATCAAATTCTTTATATTTCATTCATTTGATCTTTAAAAATTGTGTATCTTATTCACATGTGTCATACAACACTCATAAGTGATCAATATGTAATGTACCTATAAGTGCAACACCACACACACATACAACCATATAAATCATGAAATAAATAATTGCTGGCAAAAGTCAGTTGAACATAGACTTTACAGTTAAAGTTCATCCAACCTAGATTAGTATTTCCACAGAATGCATCGACAAATATTCAGACAAACATCGGCTAAGTACAAAATTATATGGTAAAATATACTGTCATAGATGGCTACAAATAACAGCAGCCAAACCGTCATTATTTTATTCCACCATCTGTGGATATTTTCACTGTAGTATGGAAGCACACTGGTTGTTTTCTATCTCCATTATTTCGTAAAGTGCACATTTGTTATTCGCCCAAAATATAATTTTAGCAGTAGAATATCTGACAAGAAATGTGATTAAATAAACTTTCCTTATCTACCCATTGTTCTGGATCATTTCCCTTTGGAATCACATATCCTTTATCATGGGAAAGGTTACTGTAAAACTGGGTGTATTATGTGAAGGTTGTCAGTGCACTTTCCTACTGGCAGGACAGTTGAAACCTGAAGGGTATTACATCTCTTATTTTTTATTGGAACGATCAAGAGTGAAAGAGTGACGTGGGTAGTATATGAACACTAAGAGGGATGGTGTTATAAATGATTCCACATCATTCTGTGCTCTTTCATTGTGGAACAGATCTCCTCCTGGCAAGATTTATCTCTACTCAATAGAGAGAATAGCTGTCCATTATCTTCATGTACTCGTCCTTGGCTGTGTTTTAAGTGAATAAATGATAATTAAATATTGATAATAAATTGGTAAACAACGATTTACAAACACAATAAAGTGACTTATTTGGGGAGGAACATGCTACATTTCACAAAATACTTTGGGACGAATTTGTTTCCTACACCAACCCGAAACTAAAAAGGAGAGAGACTGTTTATAAAATATAGAAATCATCAAAGCAAGCGATCTTTCGCTAAACCGTTATAATGGCTGTAGTAACATCAGCTATATTTGGTTAAGTTTGTCCATGGTTGACCTGGTGACATCATTTCCTTTACATTAAACCCTCGTGTCTTTTTCTCTTTGTACTTATATATAAACCAAAAAAAAAAAACCTGAAAAAACAAAAAATATTGTGCTGAATAGAGAGGTTGGTCCAGGTTTAGAAAAAACGAAGTACTGGATATATGTTTTATTTGTCTAGATTGTGCCAGAGTAAATTTGTGTACTTATATAAATCTTAATCGAACTTCAACTTTCACTCCTGAGGATAGTAGAGTAGAACACCGAAACATTTAGAGTCTTGGTAGGATTGGTCCCTAGTTTTAATAAATATTATTGTGTAATTATTTTTAACGTTGGGCGCTTGTAAATTGTATATAAAAATTAAGAATTATTTATTTCGTAGTATTAAACCACTAACTGTTAGTTACAATTGCTTTAACTTAAACAAGTGTAGTTGAAAACCTCATATTCTGTAGTTTTACAGAATATCAATTTAACTAGATCCGATATAATACTTCAAAGATATTTCTCATGTATTTTGTATATTCTTTAATAAGTTGTTCTGGCATCTTTATAATAGTTAGTTTCTTCTTTTTTTTTATTTAGTGCTTATGTATTTTAGTGACGTTATAAATTAATACTCCTACTTTATAATGCAAGTAGCAAGTACTCGCGAAAAATATAAAATAGCTGTGTTTTTAAGAGTTGTTATACTTTGCAAAAATAAATAATATAAATGGCCCCTTTTGTTTCAAAATATTAGCTCCAGTGGCATGCGCCTATTGGTCGTGACCTTATTTTATAGGCTTAGTAACTTATTTGAAAGGATTAAGTTCTTAGTGGTGCTTCGTAATCCTAACAATTTGTTAATTGGTAGGCCCGTTTAAAGAAATATGCCAAGTTACTACTCCTTAGGATTTCCACCAACGGGACAAGCTTCAGTCATGGGCTCCTGTGTATCCAGATCCAAAGAAGCAGCTTTATTAAGTCTTATGGAGAGAACTGGGTATCAGATAATTCAAGAGAATGGCCAGAGAAAGTTTGGACCACCGCCAAATTGGGAAGGACCTCCACCTCAAAAGGGAAGTGAAGTTTTTGTGGGGAAAATTCCACGAGATCTCTACGAAGACGAACTTGTTCCTGTGTTTGAAAAAGTTGGAAGAATTTATGAAGTTAGGTTAATGATGGATTTTAGTGGAAGCAATCGTGGTTACGCGTTTGTGATGTTCATGAATCCTTTGGACGCTAAAAAGGCTGTGAAAGAACTGAACAATTTTGAAATTCGAAAAGGCCGCTTTATTGGTGTATGTAAGTCAGTGGATAATTGTCGACTTTTTGTAGGAGGAATTCCGAAAACGAAAGAAAGGGAGGAAATACTAGAAGAAATGAAAAAAATAACTGAAGGAGTCGTAGACGTTATTCTATATAGAAGCATCCCGGACAAAACTAAAAACAGAGGCTTTGCTTTCGTTGAATATGAAAATCATAGAGCCGCAGCTATGGCACGTCGCAAATTGATTCCAGGTAAAATCCAGCTGTGGGGGCATGAAATTGCTGTAGATTGGGCAGAACCCGAACCTGAAGTGGATGAAGACACAATGTTAAAAGTAGGCGAAAATTTTAACATGTTTCATGTTTTTGTATAATACTACTGTTTTTTTATATGTTTCAAAAAATCCAGATAATATGCTAGCTTACGTAGTTAGGCTAGTTGTTACGTGATTTGGCACCCTAGTACTAGTTGTAGTACTAGTAGTGTTAGTAATAGTATGACATTCAAAAGAATGTTTAAAGTTTACTGCATTAAAATTATAAATTTAAAGCAGTGTCAGATTTTGCTTGTAACTACATAATAGTTGTCTCAACGTTATAAGCCTTGTTAAGGTTTAAAATTTAGAAAAGATTTTTTGGCTTTGAAGAAAGCATAACTTTAGCGACCGAGTTTAAAAGATTGGAAATGTCTTATTTCTAATGTTATGGTACATTGGTAGGAACGCTTAAAAATAATATTCTTATTAAAGTTAAACGTTAATATCTAATGTAATTTTGGATACATTTTATGAGTTTTAGAATGATATCACTAAAATTGTATTTACTTTGTAGAGTGCTAATACCATTCACGATAACGTTTAGTGTACAAATACAATTACATTACTTTTTGATGAACCATTTAGTATAAGAAATAGAAAACATTTTATATTGTAATTCAACATGATCATCAATTTGCGTATTATTGTTGTTGAAGTACTTACAAAAAACAATGTATAACATTAACAATAACAAGGATTATCAGGGCTTGCTACCGCTAGTAGTAGTAGTAGTAGTCGTACCAGTATCACAGTGCTTCTTTTTTCTGTGTAGGCCTACCATGCATTTATAATTTAGTTTTAATGATAACAGCTCATTCTCTATGAAAATTGTCGTATATTTCGAGAGATATCTGTAATACTTACTACTAGGTTTGAGGAAAACCCACCATGATGTTCTATGAAATGTTTGAAAAATAGCTGAAGATAAATCAAATTGTAGTACGTTCCAACTATAAGTATAAAATTCAGTTTTAATTTCATAGTTTTGTTACTTTATTTTCATTTTTCTGAAACTCTCAAAACTTTTGTTGTTCATACTCAGTAAAAATTAGTTAATATGTCTTTCGGTGTCTTTGCTCTAGCTTATAATGATTGAAACGTCATTTTGTCTCGCACATAACTAAATATTCTAATATAGTAGATAGGCCAAGCTTCAGAAGTCGGTAACGTTAACAGCAAGTGTGGCCTATATTCGTTATATCCATTGCCGACGATGTTTTTCGCTCAATCCAGAGCTCTTATGTTATGATAATGACCTAAAGAAAGGTAGATTAAACCAAATTAGTGAATTTCAAAGGTTGAGAAAATGGTAGAGAGGAGACAATTCTCGCCACTCATTTAGATTATGGAAATGATTTTCTTGAAACGTTGAGTGACATTTTGCATCAGAAAATTTGCTCAGTGGCTCGGAAAGCAAGGCTTCAATGTCTATTTGATCAGTAGTTGCTCAACTACCTGAATGTTCTAGTCCTGATCCGTGTGTGCCCGCTGTCTTGCCTGCTGGGGAAAACTCCTAACTGGCGGTATGTCCAGTCCTTCTCGTCTAAGCCTGGTCTGGACCTGAGCTGGGGTTGCCATACTCTGACTGGTAACGGCCTAGGAATCCTGTGGAGATCTTCCAAGGTGGTCTTGGATAGGAAAAGCACCAAATTCCATATCAACAACCATCAGTTGTCCTTGCTTCCCTGGCTAAACTCTCTTGTTCATGGCATGAGTACTTATATGTGTAGAATAAGCCATTCTTTCGGTAAAACCATTCCTTTAAACTCAAGATATGAATTTAGGGATAGTGTGCACGTTATTGTTTCAGCAAGTTCACAATAAATCCTGGTGACATTCCACCAAAATTTCTACCTTTCTGTCTGCTTGTAATACTTGTGGTAAACCTACATATAACAGCAGTTTCAATCAAGAAATAAAGGTAGTGTTTTGTAGTTGATAAGTTTGTGAATTTACAGTTATGTGAGAAATAAATAGATTGGACACATTTAAAGTACAGTGAAAACAGTATTTAGACACAACATAAAAAATAGGTGCATACCTGTGTAGACAAATGGACGATCGCTTCTACAGAATCAGTGAATAGCTTGCTAACTTTCCATCCATCTCTCAAGAAGAATCTTTTCCGAACTAGTCAGGACTAAAGCCAAGTGGAACTCTACCAAGACAGTGCGTCTGGATTTTGAATATCACCTTACTTTCTTTGTCCAGTGGACGGCGTCACTTTGTGGCCTCTGTTCCATGACAACTTTGACCAAACATAACTTGTAATTGTCGTCATAGTTCAATCAGCAAAGGATATTCCAGTTTTCACTATTTCAACCTAGGCTCAAAATATTTATATTCATAATGAATAAAACAATGTTTTCTATGTTGAATTACAAAGTAGCATACACAAAATGCTAGTTCAATTTTAAATAGTTTAGTCATTCATTTTTAACACTAAGTGTTTGTTCATTTTTTTGTTTAACGCAAAGCTACACAAACTTATCTGCGCAAAACCCCAACTTTTACATTGTATTAAAACAAAGTTTCTATCAAAACAAGTTTATTCTTTTAGAAAAAATGTAACAGCCTATTCTCCCTGGGAATAGAAATCAGTAATTAAATAAATATATATCAGAACTGTTTTATTTAGATTCCGAAAAGAAGAGCATGTAGGTGCTCTCAGTGGCAGTGGTATTTGCTTTTACGTGATTGAACCTTCATATGAGCATCCAGCTCAAGAGCAAGTGCTGAAATGTTTTTAGTTTTCAACCTATAACGATATTGGCTGATTGCATTTAATGTTGATGCTGACAATCTGTTTCATTTACCTGTTTTTGTTTGTTTCTAATGATGAACAAGCATTCAGCCAGGTTAATTGGGACATTGCAAAGTACCAATAGGATGGCGTTAAGAGAGGATGTATCGCTAGTATTCAATAGAAGTGTGGTAGTTTGAATGAGACCGTAAGGCCCGCGGATAGGCATTGTTTATAAAAAGGAAAGGATTGGAATTTGATTGTCTTACTAGGAGGTACTTGGGGGTTAACCATTTCAACTCAGTTGGTAGAGCGCTTGCCTGGTGTTACATATATCGAGGATCGATACCGAGTCAAGGAAATTATTACAGAAGTAAACATAAGTAATCACATCGATGTTCATGTTTTCAGGAAGATTAATTACACTGAGTTCTATACTCTTAATCAATCTCACCAACTGAGCAGTCTGAAAGCGCAAGTTCTTTTAAAATATTGATTAAGCTTCTTGGCTCTAAATTTTTAGCATTCATAGAGAGGATTCACAATTTTAGCGTGCTCGAAGATTGGATCATCAAACCTAAATATCCGTTTTTTTCTTGTTTTGTTTTTTTCACACATTACTTTTTGTGGTTGTTGTAGAATGTTTTCTCTGGCTGAGTAACAGATCTTGGCGATTTCTTCATTATTCATATTTGCATTATTGTTTTCAGGTCTGCTAGGTATACTTTCTTATCATTCATCAATAATGCCATTAACCGATTTATCATACCTCGCTTGTTGTTTGTTTATTTGTTTGCTATTAAGCACAAAGCTACACAAAGAGATATCTGTACTCTGCCCACCACGGGTATCGAAACCCGGTTTCTAGCAGTATAAGTCCTCAGACATACCACTATGCCACTGGGGGCTCATACTTCGCATCTATGCAATTGGTAGCAAATTTTTTTTATTAGTCCCTCTATTTCTACACGTAGCCTGTGGAAGAGCGGAGCATCGCTTTGAAATAGAATATTAAGTAAGTTGGAAAAGCCCAATGAATAATTCATAAAGTCGAGTAAACCTCTTATGTCTATTGGTATGTTTAGGATATGTTATAACACGTGACGTGTAATATAATTGTAATGCAGTTCTATCCATATATTGCTTAACCCACAACCATCTGGTCTGACCAGGTGCCAGATGCTTATGCATCGTTAAGTCTGAAATTGACCGAATTTCCTTTAAAAGCTTTAGCGTTTAGCACATAAACAAAAATGGCTATACACGTCCCTTAAAAGGTCTTCAAGACTGTTCTGGAGCGTTTTGCAACTATTTCTAGCAGCTAGATACATCATATGATAACAACATTTGACAATACAAGTCCATGGAAAAATTTCTTTGATCATAGATTAAACTGAATGATTAACCGCCATCTTAGCATTTGTTGCATGACTACTAAATCCAGTTCAGTTTATCAAGTGATAATACTGTATTATTAGATAAAATCTTTGCAGTCCAATTTGGTTAACGTAATAGATGTGCATCAGCTTTAATTTCAAAATAATTATTGCATTAAACTTCACACACTGCCAACTGTTTAGTTGTACTTCCGTCAGTAAGTTAGTCTATGATTATTGAAAAAGTCTTAATTCTTAGCTTTTCAGCTAACATATCATTACAGTATGGTACAAGACCTTATCTAGCGAGATGCATTCTGCTTACCTAGCTCATAAGTTATTTGTTACTGGTCTACAGGGCATAGCGTTAGTAAGACTTTCCACTTGGTCTACAGAGTAATATGGAAGGTAAATTTTTACCATGAATGTCAGCATCTGTGCTTCTGCTCGAAAAACCATGACTGCATGACTTTCACATGTACCTGATACAAAATTCAATCTGCTTCTCGTTTTTCTTTTCTCTTTCAAACACATTTCTCTGTTTTTGAGAAGTTTAGACATACGTTTAAATTTTCTTAAGATCATTTTTGTACCCAAATGCACCTATATTATTACAGAAATAGCGACAGAAGCAGTCTCATTTGTTTTTGATATTTTTAACAATGTTTTGAAAGTTCCTCTTCTTTCTGAGGTATTTTATTACAGTCTAATTTTACAACTCTCCTCGACGCATGCAAGTTCTTTGAATATTGCGCATGCGCCTTTGTTGTAAACTGAACGATCTGACGAAGAGCATTAGCTCGAAATGTCATCTTTCTTTTTAATAAAAAAATATTAATAACTTGGCGATTGTTCAATCTGTTATTTAATTTTGTTATTTTCGTCGCCTATGCGGTTTTGACTATATTTGTCTGTCACTTAACTCGCTAATGGCAGTATCGTAACAGCGGATGTATTTATTTAATGTGAAAGCAAATGTGGACGCAAATACTAGTGTAACCTTATACGTAGGACTTCTGTTTTTTATTTTTTTTACATAAGTGTTTTTAGCTGTTTTATTTAGATATTTGAAAATTGTTGTTTTCACTCTTGATACTGTAATGAGTATACTAGTATACTGTATATTCTCTGCGCAATAACTTTTTTTATAAGAGTAAAAACAGATACGAAACATAGTTTATTTATGTTAAAGCTTTGAAATAGAAGCTAATATTTTAAAACAAGTAAAGAAAAAACTTTTCAAAAAAGGAAGAAAATGTTGGGATTGCTAATATCAGTCCTTCAAAAACAATAAAAACAAGATAGGGATGGCACTTGCATCATCCCTACATAATAACTAACACAGGC